ACTTACGTTGAATTTTCGTCCGAGTAAGTATAAAAGTTTTTATCCATTTGGTGGAACTTTTTTTTGTGGAAGCGCTGTTTTGTCGAAACGTTTGAATGGATACGGTAATCCATCCTTTCGAGCAACTTGTTGAAAAACACTGGTATTTTTTATTCATTTATGATCCAAGTGAGGAAAAAAAAGTTTGCCGAGAGCGTAGAGTTTTTTGTTCATTTTGATGATCGAAAATCATTTGAATTTTTACTAGCTAGGGAAGGTAGTAGGTGGAAAATGTTTTCTGTTGCGCGTACAATCTAAGCAAAAAGTTTGAGCACAAACAAACGAGAGGACAGAAAAGAACATGGGCTCGATAAGGGCTCGTGGCGAAGGAAAACCAAGAGTCACAGACTTGCTTGCCTCGTCCCTTCGGACGTAAGTATAACCAACTGTACGTAAACACACACACACGTAGTAGATTGACGGGCGAGCTAGAGGACTAACGTGTAATATATTATTTGCGCGTGCGTGTGCCGTCGTCTTTGCATTTATGCTTATGAAGATATTGTTTAAATGCTACGTTTGTACAAGAGCGAGGACCAATAATACCTACTTATATCCACTTTTATTTCAATCATCAACAATTTTATCAAGCCTCCCTCTCTCTTTCTGCGAGTAGGTACATCTGTACTTGAAACCTCGTGGGAAGAGAGGAGGCTCGTCATGCAGATAATTTGCATTAAAAGTAAAAAAAAAAAAAAAAAAGCTCCAGACTTATCCGCGGCCAAATGAGGCTCTCGTGCCAACTCTGAAAATGACCGGTGCAATGCATGTGTCCGCAGCCGATGGAAGTAACAAGCGACGATGTGGTATACACACGACTGTTGCAGGCGCTTCGAAAAATCCACAAGGTCATAAGGTACTTATTGTACTCGTCCGCGCGTGCACATAACTCACGGGCTGAGGTGAAATTTGTCATCGCGCGATAAAAAGCAAAGACCGCCACGCGAGTAAAAGGGGGTACCGCGGCCCGGTTGACGTTTCATTAATCGACCAGTCGAGCGCAGAGAGAAGATAACGCGAGGGATCTTTATTGCCACGAAGCTGATCCGTGGGTATACCATTTGTATGGATATCATCGATGCTTTGGAGCTCGGCGAGCCCGCTCGGTGCTTTTGTTTCT